TATTGACAGTTCCCAAGAGTGAAATTATAAACTATTAACAACAATATGAAATAATGTTTCAAAACACTAATAATAAGAAAAATGCAAATCAAAACAACTCCAAGGTTTTGCCTCATACTCAGAAAACTGGCAAAGATAAACAAAGATGGGAATTGTCTGTATTTTAAGAGTTATGGAAAGATGGGCATGCTAATGCATTGTAGGTAGAGTTGTGGATTCCTACCATTCTGGAAAGTAATTTGTAATTATGCAAAAAGTGCACCTAAAATATCCATACCCTTTGACCCATAGATTCCCCAAGGAGGTCAAAGACACAAAGAAAGGCTCCATATATACCAAAATATTTATAGCAGCACTTTTTGTGATAGCCAAGAATGGAAACAAAGGAAATGTCCATTCACTAAAGAACTAAACAAATTACTACATTATCGTTTAAAAAAATAAAATTGTTCTGTAAGAAATAATGAATATAATTAATAAATTAGGCCTTGGGAAGGCTTACATGAACTAATACAAAGTGAATAAGTAGAATCTGGGGGGGTGGGGATCACACACACAAACTATTACAATGTAGATGGCAACAGCAACAGCAAGAACAAATCTGAACTAAATGTTGCAAAATTATAATGACCGAGCTTGATTCCAAAGAAAAGATATGGAAAGAAGGTATTTTAATCTATTTCTCTGCAGTAGTGGGGAACTGTGGGTATGGAACACTAGTTAATGTCAGATTTTTTCAATATATCAGTTAGTTTCGCTGAACTTGATTTTTCTTTTTCATCCTTTTTATTTGTCATTATAAGGGCCATAGCTTTCTGGGAGGTGGAGGGAGGAGAGGTCCATTGGGAAATGTAGGTAGTATAAAAAATAAAAGGCATCAATAAAATTTTTATTTTAAAAAATGTGAGCGATTACAGCATCCTTGGAAACAGGGGATAGCTTCCTAAGGGAACTACTTTGAAAGGGAAAGTATTTATTTGGATTTATAAATACTGGTTTTTTTTTAAACTGTAACATTAATTACTTCATATCCCATCTCATACTGCCCTGAACTGTGGTAGGCACTTTGGGAGATAAAAGATTGGTCTCTGGACCCAAGGATCTCATGATTTCATTGAAGAAACAAATCATACGCACAAACAATATAGAGCAGCTCGAGATCAGAGATTGTTTTTTGCCTTTCTATCCCCAACACAGCACAGTGCCTGGCACATAATAGGTGCTTAATAAATGCTAATTGACTGACTAAACAAAATCAAACAGTTAATTCATGCAATTTTTAAATGTAACTCATGTCTTAGTCCCTCCCTGCTTCTCCACACACAAATACTCAAAGTTCTCTGTGCTCACACATACTCAATTCCATCCCTGAGGCCTTGACCAAAGGAGGGTTAGTTTATCTCTCTGGTTTATTGCCCCTAGTTGGAGTGCCCCAGGAAAATTTCTAAATATATTCATAATGTAGCTTGTGTTGTTTCCCTAAATTTGAGTAACAAGACCTCCAACTCCCACACAGGCATTAAAGGTACTAAATACATATCACATAGGAGATGGTCTTTATTTCACCCTCACAGAAAATGCAAAGGATTCACAAGAACCTATGAACAGATATAGAAATATATAAAGTACTCAAATAACGAATTAGACCACCCCTTGGAAGGAGGCACTACTAAACAAGCAATTCCTTTAATTAAACTACACTGTCCCAAGCAACTCACAGCAATTGTATGAAGGAATGGCAAAGTCCATATTTCCTGGCCCCATGATGTGGATCCAGTCCTCCAGCTTCAGGGGACATAATAGAAATCTCATTCCTTTTTCAAGAAACATGATATTAAGAAAATCTTTTCTTTCTAGGAAGCTAGAGCTCAAATCTTCAAATTTGGAATTGCTCATGAGATAACCAAAAAGGTTGGGAAATTCCACTCCCAGGTTCTCTTCTCTCATGTATACAAGCATACATCTACTTATCCCATGAGCTTCTGCAAGAACTCTGTCAATACTTCTGCTGCCGCCATGTCTTGGACAGGCAAAGAGCATTCTCAGGAATTCTAAGTCTCTGGTTTATAGGTCCAAATGGAAATAGAAAGGTAAGATCTTGAGACCAGGAACTATCCTATCAGTCTGCTCAAGCACTTGTAGCTTACCATGAGAGGGAGCATAGATTATAATGGGAAAAGCACTGGCTTTGGACTCAAGTTCAAATTTGTCTTTGTCACAAACTTGTAACCTTAAATCAGTCACTTAACCTCCATGGGCCTCAGAGTCCTCATCTGTAAAATAAAGAGATTGAACTAAATTTCCTCTAATGTACCTTCTAGCTTTGTCTGTAACCTACAAACACTTATTAACTATTTCTTGGGGGAAGAGAAGTGCAGTGATGGGTTGGGGAGGTCAGAGAGGGAGAAATTCCTTACCCTAGCTTTGTTTCACTCTGGAAGGGCCAAAAGAAAAGGTCAAGAAATCCTGAAGAGACAGTGAAAGGCTGCCAACTTACATCATGTGAACTATGAAGAGAGGGGCAGTTCCTACAATAAGTATCCTTGCCCCTGACACCAGGGTCAACAATTGTCTTGGAGATAGCACTAGTCAATGAAGACAAATCAGAGGAGTTTTCTGTGTCTTTTCAGTAAGATGCCAATACAAATGCCTACCTTGAAGGAAGGGTGCCTCTCAGATGACTCCAAATAAAGGACATTTGTGGTCAATTTGACTTCAGAACTCAACAACTTGGATTGGGGCTTCCCTGCTCAACCCTCCTTCCTTAGAGCTCTGCATTTCAAAACCATAACAGCATTACAGAACCTCACAGTTGGAAGGGTAACCCTTGAAAAACAGTTCCTCTCACAGTACACCTTGCAAGTTCTTGAGCTTGGTAACAGGGTAAGTTCAAGCAAATGTAATATATGATAGAGAAGATGACCACACACAGAAGACCAAGTAGCAGTCCCTGGTTTTGATAATGTGCTATTAACAACATCAACAATAATAGAGTGTTTAACACATATAATTTTATTTGATCCTCAAGACAGGGTTGTGTAGTGGGGCAACAGGTATTATTATCCATGTTTTACAGGTAAGGAAACTGAGGTAAGAAAAAATGGTTATATGACCTGTCCATCCACGGTCACATAGTTCTTATCAGAGACAGGATTCCAATCCAGGTCTCTGCTGACTCCCCATCATCGTCCATTCTTTCCTCTAAGCTGCCTCCTAATAATTGTTTCATATTTATGCACTTCAAACATTCTATATCAGTCAAACTGGCTACTTGTTCTCCATACATGATATCCCATTTCCTGCCTTCATGCATTTGCATAAGAGGGCCCCTAAGTCTGGAATGTCCTCTCTCCTTACCTCTGCTGCCTAGAATCTCTGCCTTCTTTCAAAGCACAGCTCAGATGACACCTCCTACTTAAAGTCTTTATTCAAATTATTTTGCATTAGTTTTTTAAAAATAATTTCAACTTCCCTATGTACAATTTGTTTGTGCCTAGGCTTAGTAGAACATATGCTCCTAGCCAAGGTAGCCCTACCACACATATAGTAGGTACTTAATAAAGTCTGTTGAATTGTTCTGAATTGAATAATAACAGCTCATTTACATAGTGCTCTGTGTCCTAAGAAACCCTTTCCTCATGGCCACCATGTGAGGGAGGTAAGAGGAAGTATTTTTATCTCCATTTTACACATAAGGAGACTGAGTCTCAGAGAGATCAAGTGCCTTGCCCATGTGAGTTTGACTGTGTGCACTAGATACACGGATGCATGAAGCCTGCCCTTTCTGGCCCTGCAGCTGGGCCGTCCCTACTCTGCACCAAGGCCTTGATTCCCATTTTCCCAGCTTTCTTCTGCTTTCACAGGCTCTGCTCTTTGTACCATTTTACGGGGCAATTACGCAGCTGTGGGCTGCCCAAGGCCAGTAAATTGCTCGGCTGGAATTACTGCCCTGCTACCTTTCTGACGAGCCTCAGGTTTTTACTGCTTTCCTTCAGCCAGGTTATCCCCTTAGGCCTTTTCACACCCCCACATGTCAGCATTTAGGCCGAGCTCCCAGGGCTTCAAGGGCCCCCTTTGTTTTCCTTCCAAGGCACCTAGCAACTTTGGGGGCCATGGCAGGGAGCAGGGCCAGCAAGGACCAGCATCAGATTTCCAAAGAGAAACTCGCAAAGAGAGAGTTGCTTTAGATCAATAAATAGCTGAAAAGAAGGATAAAAAAGCAAAAGAAGAGCCAAGATGTTTGTGTCACTTCAGCTGGGTGAGGAGGGCTCTGAGCTGGGCTTCGCAGCACAAGTATTTCCACTCAGAGTGAATCACTCACCCACAGCTTGGCAGCCGGGGATGCTGGAAAACTTGGCAAATGGAAAACCAAAGGAATTGTCCAGGATGTATGTTTGTATACCCATCACCATGCATTTGGAGAGAGACTCTTCGCCCTGTCACAGGGACCACCCCACACTGCCCCCTCCACCTCGGTCCCACACACAAATATACACCCCTGCCCACACAAGAACAAATGCACACACACACACACACACACACACACACATGTATCCATACACATCTCCCTTCCCCCACACAGGCTCTCACACACACCCAACTACCTAATCCCAGGAATCTGACCATATGACATGATAAACTCTCTTGGGCAGCTGTCTCCCAGAAGAGCCAACTTTTGGGCTTCATGCATCAGAAAGGAGTCTGTGAGCACTCCCTCCCACCCCCCAGTTACCCTGGGTCCTAGGAGAAAGCAATCTTGATGCCAGCAAGGCCATATACAGGAATTTTATACTAATGGGGTCCTATAAATAGTTATGGGCACATGGAAATGTAAGGAACTGGTGTGGATGAGGGGGGAAGGGCTAGACTTCGCTGAGGCCCAGGCTTCCCCAAATGCCCCAGTTTAGTTAAGGACCTAGATGTCAGATTTAGTGTAAAGAACAATCAAATTCCATCAGAAATACTGATGGGAATTATGATTTCTCTTAACTATTCCCTACCTGAAGCTCTCCGGAGAGTTCAGGATCCTCTTCAGTCTTCTCATTATTTACGTATGGCATAACCTGATGGAGAGACGGGCAGGGAATATTAAATAGAGTCAAAAAGACCTGGGTTTAAGTCACATCTCTGGCACATACTGGCAGAGACACTATGGGCAACTCATTTAACCTGTCAAAGCTCTAAGCAATTAGGATTATAAATAATAGAACAGGTGCCAATATGAGAATAAAGAAAGAGGAGGGGAGGGGCAGCTAGGTGGTACAGTAGATAAAGCACTGACCTTAGAGTTTGGAGGACCTGAGTTCAAATCCAGCCTCAGACATTTGATACTTACTAGCTGTGTGACCCTGGGCAAGTCACTTAACCCCATTCCCTAGCAAAGAAAACAAAAAAGGGGAGGGGAGGGGAGGGGAGGGGAGGGGAGGGAATAAGTATTTACATAGCATCTACTACATGCCAAACACTGTGCTAAGTGCTATTTTTTTTTTTACAAATCCTCATTTTTTTACAAAAGTTATCTCATTTGTTTTCAGTGTGCATCAGGACACACACACACCCACACCAATGAAATCATATGTCTAATCAAAACAAATAACTGAAAATCAGTTTGACAGCTAAGGGGAGCATGGCCTGAAGTGGGGAAAGTCGTGAAGCAAGGAGACCAACCAATGAGCTACTCATTGTCTAAGCAGGAAGTGGTGAGAGCCTGAAACAGCATTAAGGCAGTATTAGGGGAGAGAAGGGGGTATATATGAAAGACGTTAAGAAGACAGATTTATCAGAACTTGGCAACAGATTGGATGTGGAAGGTGACAGAAAGTGAGGATTCAAGGATAACATCTAGGTTGCCGGTCAAGGTGACTGGGGGATAGTGGTACCCTTGGGAGAAAGGTTTGAAGGGGAAAAAACGAATTCGGTTTTAAACATGTTGAATTTAAAATGTCTACAGGATATTCTATTCAAGATGTCTACTAGGTAATTGGAGATGCAAGAATGGAGAAGAAAGGTTTGAGCTGGATGAGTAGATCAGAGAATTAATAGAGATAATAGAGATGAGAATAATAATAAATGAGAATAATAGAGATAATTAATAGAGATAATAATTTAATCCATGGAAGCTGTTGAGATCATCAAGCAAAACAGTATATAAGAAGAGGAGAGGTGGTCCCAAAACAGAGCCTTGAGATATGCCCACAGTTAGTGGATGTAATGGGAATGAAGATTTAGCAAAGGAAACTGAGAAGGAGTGAAAAGGTAAGTAGGAGGAGAGTCAAGAGAGAGTAGTGTCAGGAAAACTTAGAGAGAAGGGAGTATTAAAGAGAAGAGAAGGATCAACAGTGTCAAAGATGGGAGAGAGGTCAGGAGATATAAGAGGAGCGAGCTAAGACCACATACCTTTTAAGAGTAAAGAGATGGAAAGTTCACTGTTTAGGCAGGATGACAAGTAGCTATCTGTCTAACCCAAATACATCTTCTGACATGAGAGATTTTATATCTGATTCTAACTGCTGATAGTAATGATTTCAGATCCAATCATTTGCTTCTCTCTCAAGTTCCTCCACTTATCTCACAGGAAAGTATTGTAACTAATGTTCAGGACTTCATTAAGGCATCTTTGTGTGTATTTCAAAGCTAGAATTTGAATGATAAACACTCCATGATCAACAGAGGCAGTGTAGGGCATTGAAACTATAGAAGTAGACCAGGGTTTCAGAGTCAATCAGATCATCCATTCATAGGAGGGTCGGAAGGAACCTCAGAAGTCATCTAGGGCATCCTCTCTTTTTACAAGATGAGGAAACTGAGGTCCATGGAGATTAAATGACTTGTACAAGGTTACCTAGAATAAGTGTCAGAAATGGAATTTGTATCCAGGTCTTCTAGCTACAGAGATTTTTGCATTGTGCCATGCTATAGGTGCCAGGTTTAAATACCAGCTCTTCTACTCGCTACTTGTGTGCCATCGAGTAAATCACCACTTGAGCCTCCGTTTCCTCTTCATAAAATAAGGGGATTAAACTAGATAATTTCTAAAGTCTCTCTCAGCTATAAATCTAATTATAACCTGGAGCTCAAAGTACATTTGCATAATACTGTCCTCATTGGTGGAGACTGATTATTCAATGTTCCATGGTTGCATGAGGGACAAAGTTAGCTTGAGCTTAAGAGAAAAGAGATTCTGGTCTTCTGCCTTACAGCTTGAAGAAAGAAGATACACAGTTTCAAACTCTCTTCAGATCCCTGAAGGGAGAGAAAGACTCTGAAAAGAAGCCTACATGATCAAGGTGCACAGGTTACACTTCAATTCTATAATGGCAAGGGAGCTTAGGTTAGGTGGCCAAGAATGATCCTGCAGCCTCGTGTTCTTTCCTCCTGCTGGGCAGAAGCAGCTTGTCAAGAGAGGCTTGTTTATGGTCAATGAGCATGGAAGAACAATATGGTAAGACGGGAAGAGCACCAGATTGGTAAGAGGAAGTCCAGGTTTGATTCCTGCCTCTGCCACTCACTACCTAGGTGACATTGGTCAAATGTCTTCCCTGCTCTGGGCCTCACTTTCCTCTTTATAAAAGAGGAAGCTAGGTGACATAGTGGATAGAGTGCCAGGCCTGGAGTCAGGAAGATCTGAGTTCAAATGTGAACTCTGACACTTCCTACCTGTGTGACCCTGGGCAAGTCACTTAACATGGTTTGCCTCGATTTCCTCAACTGTAAAATGGGGATATGAATAACAACTTACTTTCCAGAGTTGTTGTGAGGGTCAAATAAAAAAATATTTGTGAAGTGTTTAGTTATGCAGTTCCCAGCATATAATAGGTGCCCTATAAATGCTTGTTTCCTTCCTTCCTAATATGAGGATTGGGCTAGATCATCTCCAATATTCCAGTCTATGGAATAGCCTCTGTTAAGAATTAAGCACTACCCTGAATCCTACATCACAGAACTGAGCCACTCACCTAACCTAGGTAGTTTGGATCAGCACTCGGTATTTCTCGGGCATAACCCTAACCATAGTAGATTTAGCTACTTTATCCCAGGTACTCAGTCCCTTTTCCCCATACTTAACTCTTGCCCTAAGGGCTAGAAACATTTTAAAATGTTTCCAGTTGAGGGATCAGAATAAATCCCTGTATACATTTTTCAAAACCACTGGGTTAAACTCTCCCACCCCTACTTAGCCCAGGGACACAACAGCCACACCCTTGGCAAGGTCTTGTTTTGAAAGGCCTTGTACTCCATGAGCAATTTGAAAGCCAGACTCCCAGCTTATTATTGTTCAATGTGATGTAAGTGAAGACATTTAAGCAGCCACATCATATGCACGTGCTATTTAGTTGGTAAGCTAACTTCTAGAATGCAACAAATATTCCGCATGGCAGTCAGTCAAGTAAGTATCTTATGTGCCCCGTAACAACCATAAAGATGCTCCATCCAGGAGATAGATGTCATTGTTCACCTCCAGATGGTTTGGGTCATTTTGACAGACTTTTAGTGAAAGACAATTCTGCCCATTTCCATGGGTGAGCACACTCATGAATTTTCTCAAGGTTGTCAAACTCAGGGGGGTAGGAAATGTAAAGCCTCTCCCATATGTTGCTTTCTTGCAGCTAAAAAAGCAGGACAGTGGGATACAAAAATCCCTAACCTAGGGGACAGAAAACTGGAGTTCAGGTGCTGGGTCTATAATTTACTGGATTTAATATTTTAGGCAAGTCACTTTAGCTGCTTTGACCCTTGGTGCACTCATCTGTAAAATGTGGACAGTGATGCCTGCCCTCCCTACCTCACAAGTAAGAGGGGAGACTCAAAAGTTGAAATGAGATGATGAATGTGAAAGTGTTTTGTCAGCTGCCCATAGATCATATGATTATAGACTCAGAGGGGAAGAGACCTTAGAGGGCAGCATCAAAGCCAACCTTCTCATTTTACAGATGAGGAAACTGAGGACCTGGAAAGTTAAATGATCTGCCTAGAGTTGCAGAGACGGAAAATAACACAGCCAAAGTCTGAACCCAAGTCCTCAGACTCCAAATTCAGCACTTACCCCACTATACCAGGCTGACTGGGAAGAAGAGCAAGATTAGCATTCTATATAAAGGATGCTTATTTCTCACCTACCCCTTTATCCCAACCCCACCCCTAGTGCCCCTAAGGAGTGCGACTAGCTCCCAGATTCCTTTTTTCAACTGCCTGGATTACTTGACATCAAAGGGTCCTTAATGTGAGGCTGGGGCTTATTCAAAACTCTTCCCCTTAGCATATCTTCCCTCCTCCCTTCCTTTATATCCCCAACAAGATTTATGGCTCATTTGCCCCCAAATTTAGAAAATTTGGTAGGCATTTTGCTGGCTGGAAAATTGACAAGCTAGGCATAAGAAGAGAGAATGGGCTAGAGTCTATGCCACATTTTCCCTAGGCAGCCAGTCCATTTTCTCTTCTTAAGCCTAGCTTGCCAATAACCGCTAGAGTAAAGCCCTCTAAATACCCTGTGGGATCCAATCATGGGGCAGAACATTTCAAGGTGGGATCCAAAATTATTCACTGTGGATCAAGGATACTCAGAAAATGCAGTCTTCAAACACAAGAGTAGACAAGGAATCCACCTCAAGCCTCAAGCTCTGCAAACCCTAGACCAAACACCTCAAATTAGAGCTTACCCACCTAATGGAAAACTGTTCAGAGAGATGGGGATAATTGATTTCCCAGGACTGCCAGTTCTCCAGTCAACCTGAGAAGAAGAGGAAAGCAAAGGCCTAAGTGAAGCCCTTCCACATCCTCTTGTTGAGACAAAAACCTGAAAGACAAAGTTTCTGGGTAATTAATAATCAATTTATTAATTAGGCTAGAAAATAATCAATAAATGAATGGTCAGTGGTTTCTCTCAGTAACCAAAGACAAAACCACGGAGACACTGAATGCTTTTAAATACCTTTGGAAAAGGGGGCACCCCTGACATGTGAAAATCAACCCTGATCAGGGAACAATTAATGAAGCAGTGGACTTCTAAAGGAGGTGATAGGCTGAAAGTCTTTAGCTTCTCATGCTGAGAATGTGGCTTGATCATGAGACTCAGCCACCTCCAGCAATCTGGACAAAGAAATGCATCTCTAACCAGACCAGTCTGGCTGGTTTTCTCCTTCATAAGTTAGGTCACCCTAAACTCTAATGGAGGGGTGCAAGGGCATAGACTTAATGCTTTGGGACTGGAATTCACCTAGATTAGATTCTGTTTATATTTTAAATGGAAATAAATTCTCCTAATTGGGTAGGGTCCCACCCAAGATTGCAGAGCAATTTCCCAAGGATTTTAGGCAATCTCATCTATCAGCAATGTCCTTCGGGAGACTAACTGACTGGCTATAGGGGCTGGTCCTTGAATGAGGAAATAGAAAAAGAAAAGCCTGGATCTCAATTTAATAATTAGTTATTAATATAATAGGAAAAAATCACTTTTTTTTTGTTTCCAGACTTCCATTTTCGTCTTGCTACTTTGGCATCTCTGTCTCTAGCCCATAAAAAGAAAGGAGCTTGGAGGGGTTCAAGGGGTGGAGTATGAGCAATGAGTGAGAAACCTCTCTTCCCTCCCCCATCATTGCCCCTTCCCATACATTTGTCAAAAGTATCTTGCCAACTGCCTGTAGAATACGTCTCATTTCCATTAACTTGAAGAGTGAAATCCTTGGGTATTGGTCCCAGGCAGCTCTGAGAAAAGGAAGGGGGAACATACATTTATTAAGTGCCAGGCACTGTGCTAAGTGTTTTACAAATATTAACTCTTTTGATCCTCTGGAGTCACCAAATAGCAGGAGTTCAGACTAAAGAGTAAGGATGTTTCTCATCATATCAGTGTCAGCGCTAGAATAAGAGAAGTGACTGAACAACAAATCAATCAATAAACATTAAGCTCCTACTATGAGCCAGGCACTGCACTAAGCAATAAACAAATGATAATACCAAGGTCTGGTGCATCTCATCTACAGGGTAATGTAGCAGGACAGGCAACTAGGAAGCCTAGGAATGGGAGTAAGGGGGGCCAGGGCAGAGAGACTTTCTAGGGACATCAGAACTTGCCACCTGAACACCTTGCTTAGCACAGCAGGTACATTGCTATCTCCCCCTCCCCCCTCCAGTACTTTTCAACTAGCTGTTAGATTCCTTTAACTAATCATGGGACAAACCCTTTTAGCATGATGAGCATTATATTTACATGCTGAAGTACAAATGATTCAACTCTATAGAGAGCTATAGAGAAACGGAATGATATTATTTTAGAACTTAAGGAGAGCTTAGATTTTATCTAATGTGAGCCCCTGACTTTACAGAATTGGACACTGAGGCCTATAGGGGTTGACATGATATTCAAGTTCACATAGCTAATCTGCAGCAAAGCTTGGATGTCAATCTTCTAATATCCAGTTCTAGGCTATCAATAGATCAATCAACAAGCATTTATTAAACACCTACTATGTGTCAGGCACTCTATTAGGCACTGGGGAGACAATGGCAAACGTAAAAATCATCCTTTGTCTTGGCAGCACACATTCTAATGGAAATGACAGCATATATGGGTATTCACATAAAAGTCATAAAAACAGACACCAAGAAACTTTGGGGGATGAGGCACTTGCAACTCCGGGGATAGGATTTCTAGAGGCACCTAACTTGAGACACGCTATCATGTGAAATCAGAGGGTCTCATTCTGCTAGTGCCTACTGCTTTGCCCACCCATTCCCCCAAAACTTAAAGTGATAGGAAGACGTGGGAGGATCCTTCCCCATCGATCTCCTTTATAGCCCCTTCCCAGACTTACCTAGCCAAGCCTCTATACTCACCTGAGTAACACCTTCTCTTAGTCTTAGTCTTAGTGACAGTTAAGGCTTGAGAAACATTCTTATATCACCCCTAAGCGTGACACAAAAGGGCCCAGATTCCTACTGCAGCAGATACCTACCTTTCCCCACCTACCCTTCCCCACCAACTCCTGGATAGGGTCAGTCCTAGGCGAGTATGGAACTGGGGAAGAGGGAGGTTGAGGACCTCAGGGCACAAGGAAGTGTTCTTATTTAGTCTGACCACTTCATTCTAATGAGGACACTGAGGTCCAGAGAGGTTGTATGATGTGCCCAAGGTCATATAGCAAGTTAGTTGAACACCTAGAAGAGAAATCAGGTCTTGTACCTTTCATTATACAATGCTACCTTTCTAAATCAAATAAATATTTGTGCAGCCTATTCAAATTCTTTCTAACACATTGGCTTATGAGCTCACATATCTGAAAAAAGCAACTCAGCTTTACTCAGCATTGTTTGGGGTGGGAAAAGGAACAGAGTGCAACAAAGTGCAACCAGGAAATATGAAGGACATTCCTTTCTCATAGAATTGAAAAATTGCTTCCTAGCCACAGCAGATGATGGAGGGAAACTGTATTGGCTCCACCCTCTTATGACCTCTGGGTCATATTTTTGTGTCTCTTCATAGTTTGTCCTCTGCTTTCCCAACTCAACTGCTTCTCCCCCTCCTCTCCCCAGCCCCTAATATCTCATTCTGGATTCTGCACATAGGGTTATGGTTGTTGTTGTCTTTTGTTCTCAAAGAAGACCAAAATGACATCAGTATGCCGGGTCAAGATACAGTGTGTCCAGCTGTGGTTGGTCAGACTACAAGCTTAGAAGTTTCTACCACAGGTCAGGCACAAATTGTCCATATGAACATCTGGAGTGAAGATAGGTCTAGATTTTCACATCTCACATTTCTTTTGGTACTGTAGGAGCACATAGGGTACCCATTACTGGACATTATTGACAGACTGACTATCAATTAAATGTAGGAAAGGGGACTTCATGGACTCACAGAATCTCAGAATCGGAAGGAACCTTAGGGGAACAGGAATCCCTCTATAACATCCCTACAACAAATGGTCATCAAGTTTCCCACATGTGATGTGATGTGATGTAATGGAAAGAGCTCTAGATTTGGAGTTCAAGGACCTGGATTCAAATCCTGCTCTTCATACTTAATGCCTGTGTGACTGGAAGCAAATCACTTAACCTCCCTGGGTCTCAATTTCCTCATCTATAAAATGGTGGGGTTGAATGAGATAACTTCTAAGGTCCCTTCCACTTCAAAATCAATGCTCCTATGACTTCTAGAGGCATCCTGTTCTACTTTGGGGCAGCTCTAATTATTAGGAAGTTTTTTTCTTGCTTAAAACTAAAACCTGCACCTCTATAACTTTCACTTGGGGGTTAGGGAGGTACATTCCAAAAGATTGAAGAATCAGTTTTGTAAGTTCTGCATTTCCTGTTGCTTCACAATTTGTATACAAATTGTTGACCAACTAAGACTATATAACACTTTACACCAACAGATGGGATCCCTATTTTCAACAAAAGTAGTTGTCCACATACAAGAAAACAAAGTTTATTTCCCAAATCATTGTCAAAAAATTCTATTACATCAGAACATCATAAATATAAAACTAAATAGCACAGCTGGTGAATAATTTACCCACACTACTCTACAAAACGAAGATATTTCCACAAGCAGCACAAAAGCCTCACATAAAGCCACCATGCAAATTAGCATGGGCCCACCAGCCTCAGCATGAAAAGAGCTCTGGCTACAAGCCCATAAAAATTGAAATAAATACTCAGAGTTCCCAAGTACTCTCACCCCTCCAAGAAAGATGTTTCTCAAATACCACCATTACACATCACCCAGAAAATGTATTACTGAGATTGTTGTTGTTTGTCCTTCTTCTCAAAGAGGAACATAACATCAGGAAGGTGATGCCATGACTTGCAAGTGAATTGGATTTAAGTGAGGGAGGGCTGTGCAAAGTCATCAGTCTTACTTTCTCCTCTAGAACCATCTAGGTGCAGTGGCAAGATACAGATCAGGATGACTGGAGATGGCCCCCCATTACTGAGATAATGCACCTAGCACATAATAGGTACTTAAAAAATGCTTGTTGTTTGATTGACTGGTAAAGCCTAGACCTGAAGGAGAGAGTTGATGAATAGTCTACAAGCAAATAAATATTCTAATTACTGCTTGACGTTACATTCTGTCTGCAAAACTATGAGAGAAAGCAATATGTACCAGAACAGCATAAAGAGTACCCGGCACATAGTAGAGTTTAATAAATGCTCATTGACTGAATGATTGACTCTGATGGGGAATATGACTAACTGCCCCTGTACCTCATGTCCTCTGGAGTGACTAAGAAATTACTATGTACAGAGCTAAGCACAGCTGGAGCTCTTGGCTCTTAGTCCTCATCAAGGTGGGCTACAGCTAAAATAACATTGTGTCTGGACTCCTAGCCTTGTATTTTACTTTTTCCTTTAATTATTATAGGATTTCTTATTAGGAAGGAGATTGGTATGGTGGAAAGAGTGCAGTTTGACATCCTGGGTTCAAGTACCAGCTCTATCACTTACTATGTGACCTTGAACAAACTAGTCTGGGTCTCAGTTTCCTTATCTATAGAATAAGACAATTGAACTAAATAACCTCTAAGGTACCTTCCTCCTCTCTGTATGTGATCTTATGATATACATGCAAGTTTTTCAATACTTAAATGCCATGCCTTTCACCTCCCAAGTCTTCCCTTTCTAGTTTCTATAGTCTCTCTCCCTTTAACCTCTGCTCACAGGACTTGGTCTGCACTAATTCTACCTTCCTGGTCCCCCTTCTTTAGAAATTCTTCAATTTGTTAATATCCTTCCTAAAGATGATGGCCAGAAATGAATAGAATACACCAAATATCATCTAAGGAGGGCAAAATACAGCCTGACTATCTCCTCTCTAATTATGGACAGTTTCTCTTAATGTAGACTGAGATCACAGACTTTAGGGTTGCCATGTCACACTGTTGAGATCCATTGAATTTGAAGTCTGCTAAATAACTCAGGTATTTTCTACAAAAATTGCTCCCTAGACATGCCTATCAAAATCTATGTACTTGTACAAATGATCTTTTGAACGCTATTATTTTGTTCAGTTATTTCAGTCATGTCTGACTCTTCATGACCCTATTTGGGGTTTTCTTGGCAAAGATACTAGAGCGGTTTGCCATTTTCTTCTCCAGATCATTTTACAGATGAGGAAACTGAGGCTGACAGGGTTAAGTGACTTGCCCAGGGTCATAGAGCTAGTGTCTAAGGTTGGATTTGAACTCAGGCCTTCCTGACTCCAGCCTAGCACTCTATCCACTGTACCACCTAGCTGCCCTAAATACTATTATAGGACTTTACTGTTATCTCTTTTCAATTCCTTAGTTGTAGATCATCCCATCATGGTAGTCATTTGATCTTTTTTTGGATTCTATCATCCAGTGGTTTATCGCTCCCTCTCAGCTTTGTGTCATCAGCAAATTTGATGAAAACACCATCTATGCCTTCAATCACATCATTGATGAATATGTTGAATATCACAAGGTCAAACAAATCCCTGTGACACCCTATTGGAAAACTGTCTTTAGTCTAGGAGAAAGGTTCAAATCCTAGCTCTGATACTTATTAGCTATGTAACCATGGATAAGTCATTTCATTGCTACTTCAGGGAGTTGTTGTGAAGAGACTTCTACTATATTGATATCAGTTATTATTATTCCATAACAGCTCGATGCCTAAGTGGTCTCCATCTAGTAACTCAGGGATACTGAATTTCCTTCTGAGTCTCACGCA